CCACCACCACCACCACCACCATGGACTTTGGAAGACGGGAACTCAAAGCCGACCCACCCAGGAAGGACTGAGAGGAGGAGGAGGAGGAGGAGGAGGAGGAGGAGGTGGGGGAGTGGACGGGAGTGGCAGTAGGGCCGGGGGATTGGAGGGGCTTATTAAAACGGTTGTGATCCACTCTGTGCTTCAGTGGTTTGTGTCAGCAGTAGGAACAAACTTGGCTCATGGGTTGTTGAAAATTCCGACATGCAAAACAGGTCATAGTTTGTTGCACCACGCTGGCGGCCGGTCACAAACACAAATATGCTTTACTGAGGTGAAATGAAATCAGTAAAATGTCGCTCTCCTGCACTATCATGAACATTACTGATAAAAGCTTGTTTCTTTAACAGTTAAGTATCCGTGCCCATCACCTTTTACAAAATGTATTTCCCTCTGCGGTGCTCATTTATCGGATCAAATAGAACTCTGTGTGACTCGTTGCAGCACCAAATGTTTTCAAAGTTTGGAGAAAGTGAGTGCCACAGAGACCGGTTGTAGGGTGTTCTTGATTAATGTTGTGCATTTGATGGTGGCATTGGAGCCAGTTTCTCTTTCATTAAGGTGTCAGCTTTCATCAACCTGCAGTTCAAAAACCAGTTTCTCTGCCTTTTATTTTATTGGAATTGCAAAACACACAACACACACATATATCATCCCCATGTAAGTTTCATTTCTGCATATTCCCCTTTAATCTTTTATGCTGCCTCGAGGTCCATGTGGAGCAGCGGGAAAGGGTAGCGTTTTAAGGTTTGAGTCAGTGACAAGAGCAAAATTACATGTAAAGAAAGATGAAAAACAAATGCTAATAAGTCCAAAAACAGTACGCCAAAATGTGATGCAGCTCTAACCTTGTACAGGTGTCAGTACTTCTGTAGCTCATCGGTACGGTCTATGTTCTGCAGCAATCTTACACCTGATGATGCAGTACTGAGTGTCTGTAATTCTCTTTTATATCGAGAGGAAAAGCATAAAAACACACACACTTGGCATATCAGTCTGTGAAAGCGCTACAGACACATGGTCAGTCTGATGTCTCCCGTCAACCCATGAGCCAAGCAGTGAACCCGTTGTCTGCACAGAAGTAAATAGAGACCTGTACCTTTTTTTTAAATTGGCTTAGCTGACCAGTATACCGCCACTCTATATAGGTCCAAGTAAGGAGATACATGAAGAGAACATTTTGTTTCTGTATATTATTTTCTTTTTGATAATTTTTCTTTGTGTTTTGTTCTCTTTATTTATAGAAATGGCCTCGGCTCGTGTGTCATGGTTCTAAAGAAATGTCTAGTGTTTGCTAAGCAGGGCAGGCAAACACGCAGACAGGCCATGGCCCAGGCTCACATAATTGCTGATAATTTACTGTTGTGCATTGCATTTAGTAAAGATGGTTCTACTGTGTATCTAATGTTTCAACAGAAAGATCGTCTGAAAGCAGAAGATTCGCCTTTCTATTGCTCTTTTCTTGGCACGATCTTTAAAAAAAGACACTGCTGATGATGGGAGTGGGTTTGTGTGATTATACAGCAAATGCCCAAATTTCCATGCTTCAGTTAATCTTGTGTGACATTGTATGTTTTCATAGTAAATGCAAATAAATTACCCTGCTTGGCAGGGCATTTTAGAAGAACTTCCTGTTACCTGCTTTGTGACAAAACATACTTTAAACTTTCCATAAAGGAGCTGTTGTAAAACAAGGTCAAAGTTTGATTTTCTTTCAAATAAAACTGTCATTTCACTCAAAATACAAGATAACCCCCCCAGGGCTATAACCATTTGATTAGATAATGAAAGCAGTCATGGAAGTCATGCACATGCGCATGCAGCCACTTGAATTCCACAGAACGTTGTTGACCTGAAGGCAGCGCTTCCTTGGAACTCCGCGACATGTGATGAGATCTGTTACGTATACAGGACTCGCTGCTTTAAGAGCACACTACAACCACACTGCCAGCACACAAAAGCAGATTTCATCCAGCAGTAACATTACTGTCGATAAAGCAAGGCACTCTTATCAACCCTGGAAGTAAGTATTGTTCTAAAAAGGCTGCAGATACTTTTGTATCCTAGTAGTAATGGATCTGTTTGATGATTTTATTCATTTT